TTTTTTTTTTTTTTTTTTGTAAAGTCATACATTGATGAAATAGTTTCAACAAAGAAAGTTTAATTACATAAATAAAACATGACTATTTGGGAACATCATACAATAAAGTTTTGAATAATAACATCCAGGTCAGTGAACCCTAATTACCACTAGCATCTCTTCTGTTAAGTGTAGCTTGATGGAAAACTAAATTCCTATATATATATATATGCCAAAATTTTTCCCTGCTCTTTGAATTTTCATTTTTTTCAGAGGAGTGGGCTAAGCCCCCCCCCCCCCCCCCCCCACCCCACAGACGCCTCCCCAACTTTTGTGCATTCGTTTCCTTCGAATTCTATCTCTCCCTCAAGACGAAGGTTACAGTCTCGGCAATGTTTGTTGTTTGTTTGTTTTTTGGGGTTTTTTTTTGTTTGTAAGTGGCTGTATTGTTTATTTATGTATCGTTTCCAATGTTTTGGCAATGACTGTAAATGAAAATCAATAATAAACCCATCTCATCAAGGTCAACTTTCATAAGTCAAACTTATTTTGGTGTGTGGGCGTTGTTGTTGGTGGTGTTGTTGTTTTTTTTGTTGTTTTTTTTAGAATGTTCAAACCCTCTATCGTCAAAACGTGGATCCTCCTCTGATAGTAAGGAGCGTCTCATTGTTTTGTTCATGCATGGCCGCTAGCAATGCCAACGATCTCATTCTTATGGGGACCTGTCATTATTTTTTAATTCATTTTGATTAATTTATTTTTTTTATATAAGACTGCTGATATTTATATATCTAACAGGCTGATGCATCCAGCAGAGGTTTTATTCTATTTTCATTTATTTTTATATGTTTTTTTAAAAGAAAGAATACACATTTTAATTCTTCTATTCGTTCGTGGTTTTCCTGCGCCAACGCCGTCAATATTCAACCCTATCATTCCTGCCACAAACGTTAATAGTTGGATTAAGAAAAGAAAGAAACAAAGAAATGGAGGGGGGGGGGGGAACGGCTCCATCCCATGATGGCTTTAAAGTACAATAAAAATCCGAGCAATCCACTCTGCTGACCTCCATGTCCAGTTTCCCCCCACATGCCACTCACGAGAAGAGCTCGACAACCGGCGCCCGCCGTTGAGCGCTCACACTCGGAGAGCCACGGGCCTTATCACGGCACACCGCGAGACGCCAGACACTCGCCCGGCAGGGGTCCGGCTTTAAGGCGTTTTTGTCTTGTTTTTAAACAGTTCGGACCCGGGCAGAGAGAGTCAAATGTCAGATTTAGCTGAGAGATTAGCGGCCGGTCTGTAGGAAAGAACACATTAGCGGCCGGTACTGTAGGCAAGAACACAAATGGTGCGACTAAAATGTTAAAAATACCCTCCACCCCCACCAACACACACACACTGGCAAAAAAGAAGCACATTAAGAGATGAAAGAATGTGAACACACAAAAAAATTGCCACAAAAACATCAAAGAAAAAATATATGTTGATTTCATTGCCTCTACACTCACTAACCTTTTCCTTGGTGTGGTGCTGAAGCTTACGGCATAACAAAATCAAATTTTAGAATATTCACTATTTACGATTGCACGTTCTCTTCTCAACATCAACCAGCAGTCAACAGAATGGCTCACTTGGTCGATGGGACTGCAGCTTGCATTTTCCTTTAAATGTAAATCTCTGTTCATATAATGATCACCAGACATGGCAGAGATGTTCGCAATATTCAGAGATTTCAAAGTGGCTTTTTTAATCTAAATGTTATGCTTATAACAAAATTTTTTTTAAAAATGAAATTCTTTTAATCATAAACCATTTTTTTAGTTTTTGTTTTGTCTCTTGACTGAAGGGCGTGGAAACATTCATGTTACAGCACATTTGCGCTCCATCTTGTTTTAAATATTGTCTAAATCTCAAATGATTATTATTTTTTTTAATTTGTGCAGCCACCTTTGAAAACCGTCATTCTGTGGAGTGCATTGAAGAGAACCTGTGCCCCAGGCAGTGCCGCTGTACGGACGGAGTTGTGGACTGTAGGGACAAAGGGTTAACACAGATACCCGAGAACATACCGGAGTCTGCTGTTGAGATGTGAGTATATACGACATTATCAGCTCCTCCCCCCCCCCTTTTGACAATATGAGCGATAGTGGACAAAAGTTGTTTACAATAGATATAAACTGTATATAAAGTGAATTAAACTCAATTTTCATAAAATTCCTTTATTAAGCGATAACATTTATTGAGAGACGTGTGGAAATTGTTTATTATTGACATTTGTTATATATATATATATTAGAGACCGACCGAATGTGATTTTCTGATTTCGGCCGAAGCCGAAAATAGGCCGAAAGTTTAAAATGACTTTAGGACGAAACCGAAAAAAGGCCGAAAGTTAAAAAATGACCTATGGCCGAAGCCAAAATCGAAAATGAAATATTTAGATATTTTGAAATTCTTTCTCACATACATTCTGCATACATAGAAAATGATGGGAGAAAGTATAAATATTTACATTCTTTTTATACTAAATGAAATAATCGTGAATATTAATAAATAAAGATCTAATATAACATCTTGTTGTTAAAGATCGTTTAGTTTGTTCTTAAAGATCGCTTAGTTTGTTGTTAAAGATCGTTCAGTTTTTTGTTCATGATCGCTTTATTTGTTCTTAAAGATTGGTTAGTTTGTTCATAAAGATCACTTAGTTTGTTGTTAAAAATCGTTCATTTGTTTTCTTTTAAGATCGCTTAGTTTGTTCTTAAAGATTGCTTTGTTTTTTCTTTAAGATCCCTTAGTTTGTATTATTAAAAGATTGTTTCGTTTGTTCATACAGATCGCTAAGTTTGTTCTTAAAGATCATTGATTTTGTATCGCTTAGTTGTTCGTAAAGATCATTCGGTTTGTTCTTAAAGATCATTCAGTTTGTTCTTAAAGATCATTTAGTTTGTTATTAAATATCGATTAGTTTGCTCTTAAAGATCTTTTAGTTTGTTCCTAAAGAAAATTTAGTTTTCTGTTAAATATGGCTTAATTTATTCTTGTAAATCATTTAGTTTACTATTAAAGATCATTTGTTTTGTTCTTAAAGATCATTTAGTTCGTTCTTAAAAATCGCTTATTTTGTTCTTTAAGATCGTTTAGTTTTCTTTTATTAAAGATGGCTTAGTTTGTTCTTAAAGATCGCTTAGTTTGTTTTAAAGATTGTTTAGTTTGTTCTTAAATGTTTCTTAGTTTGTTGATAAATATCGTTTAGTTTGTTCTCTAAGATCACTTAATTTGTTCTTAAAGATCACTTGATTTTTTTTTGAAGATCACTTTATTTGTTTTAAAGATCGTTTAGTTTGTTCTTAAAGATCGCTTAATTTCTTCTTAAAGATCGTTTAGTTTGTTCTTAAATGTCGCTTAGTTTGTTGTTAAATATCTCTTTTGCTGAGAATTAGATGATCAAAAACTTCAGCCACTTTCGGCCATCGTCTAATTCAATTTCGGCCGAAACCGAAAAAAAACGAAAGTTAACTTTTCTCTTTTGGCCGAAGCCGAAACTAAGCCGAAAGTTAACTTTCAGTTTCGGTTTCGACCGAAACTTGGCTGAAAGTGATAAAATGGTCACTTTCGGTGCCGAAACCGAAGCCGAAGCCCAAATTCGGCCGGTCTCTAATATATATATATATAGTTTACTAGTCCAAATTTAACTTGTTTCTCTTTAAGCTCTGGTGTCTTAACAAAGTTGTGGACATTTGAAACAAAGCAGTGATACAAATAGCCACTTGGCTTGCTCACGAAAGCATCCCGGAAACGACCGAAAAGCCGCATGCCACAGTCTTATCACAGGGGAAAACCCTTAAATAACCGTTAAACTGTTAGTTTTCCGGGCTTTCTAAGAAAAGGAGCATGTTTACGTTTTCATTAAAGCCAAGCCGAGCTCAGTGTACAACAATCAATTCCAATCGTTGCACTTTGTTTCTAGAGCGTGAGGACGGTGACGTCATGACATTTGTTAACCCCCCAAAAGAACTTGGGGAACTGAATGAGAATTATACCCCCCACCCCCACCCTTTCTCCAAAAAAATAAAAATTCGCTCTCTGAGATTAAATTTTTGACCTCGATCGACAGGTCAGGTCTAGTGGGAAATGGACAGAGCCTTGGGAACTCAATAGTGGAACAGTTATTTACGACAAATGAGAATTATACCCCCCACCCCCACCCTTTCTCCAAAAAAATAAAAATTCGCTCTCTGAGATTAAATTTTTGACCTCGATCGACAGGTCAGGCCTAGTGGGAAATGGACAGAGCCTTGGGAACTCAATAGTGGAACAGTTATTTACGACCCCCCCCCCCACACACACACACACACATACACACACACATCAAATGAACCTATTCTTTTCCATCTTTTGTTCTAGAGTTTTAAATGCAGTTTTGCAATAAATATATTTCTGTTTTATACAATACACACCCTCAGACCTCGCTATCCAAATGTTTTCACTTAGGTTAGCCTATGAATAATTGTTGTTTCTTCAACCGTGCTCTCTTCTCGACTCTAACTCATTTTGTTCACGTATTTCTTTGACCAGCAAATTAAAAAACAATGTCAAAGCCCAGAAGCAACTCTCGCGTTCAAAGGCCAGCTCTACCACCATGTTTTAGTTCATCTCAGTCCAAATCCCTTTCAAGAATTATCCACAAAGCCCCCTGCTCGCACCAAGCCCCCTCTCAAAAATACGGTCGTTTGGTCACCTCAAGCTCAACAACACCCGCAGCCCTCTACTCATATCACGTCCCCATTCAAAACTGTCCACATCCCTCTACTCTTCCCAGGCCCCCCTTCAACACCGACAGCCCTCTGCTCATATCAAGACGCTTCAATAACCTCAGCTTTCTACTCATATCAAGCCACCTTCAATGCCCACATCTTTTTACTCATATCAAGTCACCTTCAATGCCCACAGCCTTTTACTCATATCAAGCCACCTTCAATGCCCACAGCCTTTTACTCATATCAAGCCACTTTCAATGAATACAGCCTTTTACTCATATCAAGCACACATTCAATGCCCACAGCCTTTTACTCATATCAAGCCACGTTCAATGCCCACAGCCTTGTACTCATATCAAGCCACCTTCAATGCCCACAGCCTGTTACTCATATCAAGCCACCTTCAATGCCCACAGCCTTTTACTCATATCAAGCCACCTTCAATGCCCACAGCCTTTTACTCATATCAAGCCACCTTCAATGCCTACAGCCCTTTAATCATATCAAGCCCCCTTCAATACCCACAGCCCTCTACTCACCCCAAGCCCTCTTCCAATAACAACTCAGCAGCCGACCCTTTGAACATCACCCGTGTAGAGAACATGCTCGCGGTGACCTTCGTCTAATGAAAGAATCGGGTTCTGTCTTTAACGTCAGCTGCTCGTCAGAGTGCCCTCCGTTGTTGAGACAAGTGAGAACCGGACATTCTTAGAAAACCGATCACCCATTCAGAGTCGGCAGCCAATAACTTAGCCTGTGAACATATCGCCTGTCATCCTCTCGTATTTGACGCCTTGGTGTGAAGTGATCCTCTCATACCAGCTTGTCCAGTTACACCAGATGCTAGTCTATAATACTTGGTCTCTCAGCTCCTGCTGGTACATGGTTTCGCGGTTAAAAAAAAAAAATTAACACAATTAAACTCGTCAAAATTTGATTATACTGGAATGCACTTAATCTGAAATAACAGGAAAGATTCTCTCTGAACAGAAAGGACTATTTTTAAAAAAAATTCTAATCAGGTCACTCACCAGCGTATATGGGACCATTTGGGTTAATAATTTTAAGAGCTCTTAAATCTTTCTAGCGAAGGCCAGCGCAAACAACACAAAAAGTACTTTCGACCCCACCCCCAACCCCGGCCCACTGGACAAATGACCTGCTTCGTAGTGAGTCTTACAAAGTTGTGAGTGAAGCTGAAACTGGGTGAGAAGTTGGACTTAAGGAGCTCGGATCACAAAATGGCGCCCGTGCTTATCAGAGTCATAGTAAATTAAATGGCTTTTTTTTTCCCTGATGGGATTTTTTTTTTTTTTTTCAAACAGAAGAATCCTTCGACTCATCTGGCTTAATAGAGAGGTCACGTGGCTTTAGCATTAGGCTTAGTTTTCCATTTAAACCGTTCTCTGGTTGGAATTCCGTTAGGCACCCGAGGACTAGACAGAGGTCTTAACTATAGAGTAGTGGGGAGTCAGGGGGGAAAAAACGAACAGCTTGAGGTATCCGATCCGACACAGGCAGATGACGTCCACCAGAGGTTGTTGCCTATCCTGGGATACAAAAATAGCTGGAAGGATGGTCATTTAAAATCCACGCCTGTTTTTATCCTTGGCCGTTGCTTAATGTGCGTATCTCCAGTTATATTTGAATGAAGCTCGTCTTACCATTCACTGGACTCACGACTTAGCCTCTGCCAGTTTGACTTAGACCAAAAGGCCTACGACTTAGTCTCTGCCACCTACGACTTAGTCTCTGCCAGTTTGACTTAGTCCAAAAGGCCTACGACTTAGTCTCTGTCAGTTTGACTTAGACCAAAAAGACTACGACTTAGTCTCTGTCAGTTTGACTTAGACCAAAAGGCCTACGACTTAGTCTCTGCCACCTACGACTTATTCTCTGCCAGTTTGACTTAGACCAAAAGGCCTACGACTTAGTCTCTG